GCCACCACGCCCGGCTAATTTTTGTATTTTGTAGTAGAGACGGGTTTCGCCACATTGGTCAGGCTGGTCTTGAATGCCTGACCTCAGGTGATCTGCCTGCCTTGGCTTCTCAAAGTGCTGGGATTACAGGAGTGATCCACCATGCCCAGCAGCCACTGCGCCCAGTCAATAAACATTAATCATATCTTTTTCTTTTTTTTTTTTGAGACAGAGCCTCACTCTGTCGCCAGGCCGGAGTGCAGTGGTGCGATCTTAGTTCACTGCAACCTCTGACTCCTGGGTTCAAGTGATTCTCCTGCTTCAGCCTCCTGAGTAGCTGGGACTACAGGTGCACGCCACCATGCCCAGCTAATTTTTGTATTTTTAGTAGAGACAGGATTTCACCATGTTGGCCATGATGGTCTTGATCTCCTGACGTGGTGATCCGCCCACCTCTGCCTTCCAAAGTGCTGGGATTACAGGTGTGAGTCTCCGCACCCAGCCAATCATATTATTTTAATAAGAGTGGGGAGCAGATACAATGCACAAAATAAAGTATGATTAGAAAATAAAAACGCTAAATGAAGTCTAAATAAAAAAAGAAAACAGAAACACTAGTAATAAAGAAATTTAAAGATGAGAAATTTTACATAAATTAATACTGTTTGATTTTTTTAATGAGCTTTTGAAAGTCCAAGTGCATCAATGACATCATCATTGAGTCACTAGTGTATTTTTGTGTGAATTTTTTCCAGCAACTGTAAAAAGCTTTTTTTGACTAGGCGCTAGTTGGAGAAATGGTGAGGAGATATTTTTAAGCTAGGTCCAAATATTTTTCCTCTGACTTTCATCTTCAAATCAAATCTCTTGTTCAATAACTTTAAGAAGATCTTTAAAAAAAGAAAAAATTTAGTTTTTTTGGCAGGGACTGCAATCTTTTTATTGTTGATAAACTGTAGTTTCTATTTCCAAAAAACCTCCCAGCATTTGGGGTTTATTTTCATCTACTTTAGTTTAATCACGCATAGATGGAGATCACACACGAGTTACCTGTATAAATTGCTATACTGACATGTTTGTATTCCCTTTGTTCAAAACGCCCTCAAACCAGGGTACATGTTATTCTTGAAATGGAAGTATTGCTTTGTCAACTGTCACTTCCTTCCTCCTCTGGAGGATTGAAGACTTCTGAATAAGTGTGAAATTTCATACAGATGATAACTCTCTGGATAGGTCCCCAAATTTATTGGTTCAGATTTCAAATTGTTAAAGTTATAGCATCAAAAATCTGGAATCCAGTAAACTGGACCTGTGATCTCTAATGAGGCTTGCTCTTCCAGCTTCTGCTTCTTGGCTCTTCTGTCTGCCTGGGGCTGGACTGAACCAGATCCGAGGACACTGGCTGAGCTGGCCTTTAGCTCAGGATGGAGAGCAGGGAGGGACATGCGGCTGCACCACCATTGCCCTTAGCAACTCTCCTGCAGCACTATCGGTGCCCCTTTGACTGGAGCTGCTCTGTCGCAGGGGTGCTCATAACCTGGGCTGTCCCTTGAGACAAGGACCCTGGCGGAGAAGGGAGCTGCACCTTGTTGGAACAGAGACAGCCCTGGGACACTCTCCTGGCAGGTGCCTGCCAGGCCTCAAAGCAAACTATACTAGCCACTCCTGGGTCCCCAGGACCCAAACGCAGTTCTGGTGAGCTCGGCCCTAGCCCTGTGGCCTGACATCTGCCCTGCCATCCTCCCAGGGACAGTGTCCCCTCCTCCATACTCGGATTCCTCCCTGTTTCCCAAGCCCAGTGGCTCCGTGTCAGCTCCATCTTCTTTGACCTTCTCCCTTCTGCAGCCTTTGGTCCCGTGGCCCCCTCCTGTGCCTCTCACTTTCATAGTGACAGAGTCATAGAGTCATTTTTAGCCGGCCACTGAGTTCTCCTAGGCTGTGAACCATTTCTTTAACTTCAATCCAGATTCTGTTTTTGCACTTTTTTTGTTTGTTTGTTTGTTTCAGATGGAGTCTCCCTCTGTCACCCAGGCTGGAGTGCAGTGGCATGATCTCAGCTCACTGCAACCTCTGCCTCCCGGGTTCAAGCAATGTTCCTGCCTCAGCCTCCCAAGTAGCTGGGACTGCAGGCACGTGCCATCACACCCTACTAATTTTTGTATTTTTAGTAGAGATGAGGTTTTGTCATGTTGGCCAGGCTGGTCTCGAACTCCTGGCCTCAGGTGATCTGTTGGTCTTGGCCTTCCAAAGTGTTGGTATTACGGGTGTGAGCCACCACGCCCAGCCAAAAAATGCTTTATATTAAAGTAAGAATTTTAGAGGGATCCATTTCCAAGGTTTTCTATATTTTAATGGCCGCTGCTTGGCCTTTGATTTTTTTTGGCACCAGGCACCTTAGTGGAAATAAGGCAGGACAGGTTCAGGAGTCCTGGGTCTCAGGCCGGCTCTCCCACTTGCTGCTGAGTCCTTCCCCTTCCCCAGGCCTCATTTCCACATCTGTGAGATAAGCAGGTTAGCCTAGATCACAAATCCCCAGCAATTATGTTAAAAAATGAGAAACATGTAGTCATCATACGTATATATTCATTTATAAACTGTATACATTTACTACTATACTAAGCTGATGCAATATCAAAATAAAAAAATTAAGGACAAGCTAAAAACTACATAAAATATTTAACAAACAATTCTCCCTTTAATAGGTATAGTAAGATTTCTTCCTTGCACTATGCTATTGTTTGCATATAACTAATAATATTGTAAGAGAAAGCAATGTGGTTGGATATACTTAATTATTCTTTGAAATCTTGCTTTAAGATTGAGCTAGAGCCATTCAGAGGTCTGGTTCTGTTCAGGTTTTTTTTTTTTTTTTTTTTAAATAGCTGTCGTAACTGATCCAAAGAGAGGAAATGTATCATGGGCTGTATGTCTTAAATCACGGCATTGATTTTCAACCCCATTCACCAATTAAAAGCTTTTGATTGAAATTAAGCTAGTAACTGTCTGTCTTCCCTTATGTCATCAGTCAGTGGCTCTTACACTAAGTGGAAAGTATTACATTTTTATATTTTTAACAAATGGATTCAAAATCCACTGACATTCTTTATTTGGACAATTTCCAAACAGGTCAGAAGAGTCTGTTTCTGTATTTTCAGGTATGTAATGTAAGCATTTCTATAGGTGATACACATGTTTTTAACCACAAAAATCCCATTTTAAAAATATTCTCTTCAAAGCATGAGTTTCTTTAGAAAAGCAATAACACTAAAATGAGTCACCTTTACCTTGAAAAGTCAAATGAAATTGAGTTCATTTTCTGGTGGATATTTGCTAGGTAGCATACTGCCAACAGTTACTTGTCACCATGGAAAGGTCAGCAAATTTGGAACACTTGTCTTTTTGTGCCAGGAAAACATATAACTCATCTTTAAGTTTGATAGTGCTTTTAAGAACTCTTCCAAGAGCTAAGCAGCAAACCTCCATGTGGTTCAGAAGATTTTCATAAGATTTTCATACTCACTTTCCTTCTGATTACAAATCATTGTATAAGTTTTACTTTTTTTTTTTTTTTTTTTTTTTTTTTAAGATGGGAGTTTCGCTCTTTTTGCCCAGGCTGGAGTGGAATGACGCAATCTGGGCTCACTGCAGCCCCTGCCTTCCGGGTTCAAGCGATTCTCCTGCCTCAGCCTCCTGAGTAGCTGGGATTATAGGCATGCGCCACCACGCGCAGCTAATTTTTTTTTTGCATTGTTAGTAGAGACAGGGTTTCACCACGTTGGCCAGGCTGGTCTCGAACTCATGACCTCAGGTGATCCACCCGCCTCGGCCTCCCAAAGTGCTGGGATTACAGGCATGAGCCACCGCGCCTGGCCCAGTTTTACTATATTTTAACTCTTTTTTTTTTTTTTTTTTTTTAAGAACCATTTCAATGCCTTCTGCTGTACTTTAGGTATTTCTGGGCTTACCTTCCTGACTGCAGTAGCCTGCAGGAAATCCTGCAGGGAAATCATTTAGCATGTGTCGCCATCCTGCACCCTCACCCCAGAACTCTTTTCCATCATGGAGCAGCCACCCCCTCCGTGAGTACCTTCACCTTTCCCCAGCAATGGTGTTTTCATTAAAGACATTCATTTACTATTCAGTCCATGTCTCTGTTTCCTTTAGTGGCTTGCAGAAATGTGGTTTTTCACATACAGAATCTAGGAAAACCATATTAGAAAATCTATACCTTTATTTAACTATTTAGCAAAGCTTTCACAGTGTGAAATTTGTTCGAATACTTATATCTCTGTATCTTCAGCAATATTTTCTCTGCATCTTCCAACGTGCTCACATGTTGTGTCATAGGTACTATTCGTGCTACCAGCAGCTACCACATCAACTGCCCTGTTTTCAGTCTCTATAAGACATGCTGTGTGTGTGTGTGTGTGTGTGTGTGTGTGTGTGCAGAGTCATGTGACATGGATCTAAGGAGTGTATTGGTGTCCTGGCAACCACCTCCCTCCCATCACTACCAGCAAAGACAAGGGGAGGTCCCCTGGGAAAGGAAGCTTGGTATCTCATTCCCTGGCTGGCTGTGCGCTTGGGCAGTGAGCCTGTTGGCTTGCCTTGCACCTGCCTGAACACAGGAAAAGAAAACTGATGCAGGGCTTCTTGTTATGTCTGCCTGGATACTCATGATTTCTACCCCATAGAAAAGGACTTGTATTTAGAGTAGGAAGTGTTTCAGCTCTGACATTCTCTTGTTCATTTGCGTTTTCATTATAACTATTATCTTCAATTGTGGTGTCCTTGCAGGAATCTTGTGAAGTCACATATCCATCTGCAAGAGTCATCCCCGGCATCCCATCATGCTCAGGGTCCTGGCTCAGTGAGCCACCATCTACTCTGAGATTTAGATTGTGTCTGTTGTTTTCATCTCAAACCCAGGACACAGTGTTTGCGACAGATGAGAGAGGCCCAGGGAGACACAGCCCCGAACCTGATAGACCTCCTCCCTTTTCCTCCCTCCTCACCCACAGGTCAACCCTTTCAGAGACCGTATCTGCAGGGTGTTCTCCCACAAAGGTGTGTTCTCCTTTGAAGATGTGCTGGGCATGGCATCTGTGTTCAGCGAGCAGGCCTGCCCAAGCCTGAAGATTGAGTACGCCTTTCGCATCTATGGTAGGTGCTGTGGGGGACTGAGGGGCGACGGGTGGAAGGGCCATACACAACATACCATATCTGGACTCCATCATCAGTTCATTCATGGATGGTGTTAACTGGGGTTTGCTGGGGTATCTGTGGGTATGTGTCATATTTTGCATGTACCATGGAGTGAAAAAAAAAAAGATTGAGAATGACAGCGTCAATGGATAGACTCCCCTCCATGTCATCAGAAAGCAATGAAGTCATTGGCCTTGATATTTGGTGTTAGTGTGTGGTGTGTGGGCAGGCGAGAGAGAGAGAGAGAGAACCACATATGCATGTAAAGGATTTATGCTTATTTGGCAGAAGGAGCATTGGATAGGAAATTAAGGAAATTTGAACAATCTTGGACAAATCATTTCACCTTTCTGGGGCTCAGTTTTCTCATCTGTAAAATGAAGGGATAGAGAGAGATAATCTCTGAGGTCCTTTGACATTTTTTGGTCTCTGACTGTCTCGGGTAGTCAAAAGACTCTGCTGAAGTTCTGCTTTTCACCAGGCAAATGTCCGCTTAGCACAGCTGGGATGCAAGGGAATTCTCAAAAGGAATCAAAAGGAAAGAAAGAAGTCTTAAGATGCTTTCAAACAAACCAGGTGCAAGTCTTTAGTGCATCCTGATAACTCTTTGGCCCCAAAGGACTTGCACATTTAGACTTGTTCATTTGCATCTCACGTTCCTTCCTTTCCCGCCAGTTCCTCCCCAGTCTCCACATGGTGGACTCCATCTCATTTCTGCCTCACTCAAGTGGGATGTGGTTAGAAGACAGTAGAAGAGCTTTAAGCCAGATGGACTTACGAGGCCTCAGTTTTTTCATCTGTAAAAAGGACTTAATATTTTTGTATCCCGTACGTCCTCAGGTTCAGCATTCAGTAAGCACACGTGAAATCACAGAGTTCCCTCCTGAGAATGGCTGAGTAAACTCCTATCATATGGTCACTCCTGCAGATAGCAACTATAAAACTCTAAACTAAATACAAAAATCAACTAGCTGATGATATTGGAAAGCTATCGAAAGCGAGATGTGTTCTAGAGAGAGCTGATGCCTGGAAGAAGGAATCGGTAGAAGATGGGTTTTCCTTCACCCACCTTTTTTATTTTTAACTTTTCTGTCCTGAAAGTAGGCTTCAGTGAGTGGAAACACTGGACTCATGCAGGCTGATGGAAACACTGGACTCTTTCTGACTTGAAGAGCCGAGAGTTTGGGGCACACACAGCCCCTGCAAAGTGAGGGAGAGCCTATGAAAGAGAAAGGGAGTCCAAATTTTGCGTGTAAACTATGCCCGTATCTCTTTCTGACCTCTACACCACAAACACGAGGGCAAAGTCAAAGCAGCTCAGCTAAGGATAAAAGAACTAAATTGAGATTTGAGCTTCCACTACCTTTTAACCAGATCCACGAGTGACAGGGTTTGCACTTTGAGTCCAAATCAATTGCCTGCTAAAACCAAAAATTCAGCACTCTTTGGAGAAATACAGAGTCTCTACAACAAAACATTTATAATGTCCAAGAAGCTATTCAAAATTGTACACGATGTACAAAAATACTTTTTAATTGATGAATTCTCAACAATGGAGACTGACTGACATGACCCAGATGTTGGAATTAGCTAATAAAGATTTTAAAACAGCTATTATAACTGTATTGGTCAGGATTCTGCAGAGAAACAGAACCAATAGGCTATTTATGGGTGTATATGTATATGAGTGTATGTGTGTGTGTATATATTTGTGTGTGTTTACATGTGTGTATATATATACACTTACATATACACACACACACCTATCTCCACATATATATGTAGAAAGAGAGAGAGAGATTTATTCTAGGAACTGGCTCATGTGATTACGGAGGCTGAGAAGTCCCATGATCCACTGTCTGCAAGCTGGAAAGCTAAGAAAGGTGGTGGCGTAATTCATTCTGAAGGTCCAAGAACCAGGAGCATCAATGTCTGTGTATGGGAGAAGATGGATGTCTCAGCTCAGATTGTACAAATTCATCCTTCCTCCACCTTTTTGTTCTGTGGGTCCTCCATGGATGGAACAATGTCCAGTTGGTGAGGGTGGATCTTTACTCAGTCTATTGATTCAAATGCTAATCTCTTCCAGAAACACCCTCACAGAGATACCCAGAAAGAATGTGTTGCCAGCTATCTGGGCACCCTTAGCTCAGTCAAGTTGACACATACCATTAATCATCACAGTATTCATGCCCAAGGATGTAAAAACTGCTCATAACAAATGAAAAGATAGGAAATCTCAGCAGAGAAGCAGAAATTATAAGAAAGAATCAACTGGAAAATATAGAACTGAAAAGACATCTGAAACAAAAATTCACTGGATGAGCTTAACGGGAGAATTGAGATAACAGAGGAGTCAGGAAACTTGAAGATAGATCAATAGAAATAACCTAATCTGAAGAACAGAGAGAAAAACTACTCAGGGAAAGGAGAACAGAGCCTCAGAGACATGAAGGACAATAGAAAGCTCTAACATGTATCTAGGTGGAGTCTGAGAAGGAGAGGAGAGAGTGAATGTGGCAGAACAGATATCTGAAGACCTAATGGCCCCAAATGTCCTACATTTGATGTAAGACACAGATTTACGGTGAACTCCAAGCAGGATATGTAGAAATTAAATCACATACCCAAATTAAGTTGGCTTCGTAGGCCCCACCTGTCTATACCAGCTTTCCTCCTTCCTTCCCCCAAGTATTTCTGGGAGTCTCTAGGGGGATCCCAATGCATCCAGGGAGCTGGAGCCCTCTAGCCGCTGCTCCTCTCGGCCAGGCCTCCCACAGGTGGCAGCTGTGTTGGCTCAAGGCCCCATCAGTGCTCCTCTGGCTGGGGTCGCTCCTCTGGAGGATGCCAGCCTAGGCTTGGTGTTCCCATCTTAGCCAAGAGTCTTTAGGTTGCAAACCACAGAAACTTACCTACGTAAAAGCCACTGATAAGAACCAGCACTAGATGAGTTTTTCATTGTGTAAGAAATTACCACAAGCTTAGAGGCTTTAGATGACATACATTAGTAACCTCACAGTTTCTGTGGGCTAGGAGTCCAGGCATGACTTAGTTGGGTCCTCCTCTTAGGGTTTCACAAGCTGCCATCAAGCTTCCGGCTGGGGTGCCTTCTCACCTGGAGGGCGCTTGACTGGCAGAGTCTGCTCCTGAGCTTGCTCACGTTGTTGGCAGAATTTACTTCCTTATGTCTGCAGGACTCAGGGCCTTAACTTCTTGCCGGCTCTCAGTCGGGGGTTGCCCTCAGCTCCTGGACACCTGGGCCTCTCAACCTGGCCACTTGCTTCTTTAAAGACAGCCAGCAGGAGAGACTCTTGAGTCACCCCACTGGCAAGATGGAGTCATAAAAGACAGCGTGTTGGTGGAAGTGACAGCCCATCAATTTTGCCAAGTTCCATTGGTTACAAGCAAGTCACAGTTCCCACCCATACTCAAGGGAGTTGGGGATTATACAAAAGCCTGAGCACCAAGACGTGGGGCTCTTGGGAGAGAGGTCACTAGAGTTCATCTGCCAAGAGCATTATGGAGCCCATGGTGGAAGTGAGGCAGGACTCCTGGGGCCCTGGGGCACAGCTGGATGAGAGTCAAGAAGCCAGACAGCTGTGGTCTCCTCTCCACGGCTGCCTCGTCTCTCGTCTCTGCCTCTCTCTGTGGGCTTTCCTTCTCCTTCTGCAGATCTGCTATGCCTCTGTGCCCACAGGCCAAAGATGACTCCCCGGCCCCCACATGGGCTGCAGGCTTCACTCTGAGTAGCCACAAGCATCTCTGTTTCTCCCCTCTGTTTTCTCACCCAGCCAATGATCTAGCTTCCCCTGGGATAGGTGACCAGCCTTGCCCAATCACCTGCAGCCAAAAAGAAGCAGAGTTGTGAAACAAGCATGGCTCCAGAGGCCTGCCACTGGGGTGGGGACACTTCTCAGAGATGGTGGAGCGTAGGCTGGGCAGAGGCCACAAAAGACGTCTTCCTCCGCTGACTGTCTGTGGTTTCCTGAGCTAAACAAACAAAAACACTCAAACCCTTCAGGAGAGAGGTGAGCAGCAGGTTCTCCTTGGGCTTCAAGGCACAAGCTAAATCGTGTTCAGCTGTGACGTGGGGAAAACACTCACTGTCCCAAGAGGTCAGACTGAGAGCCTCAGGGCAGGTCAAGGACTAGACAACGCAATATTCCCCACAATGTCTTTGTATCTTCCTCCCCCGACTCTCTCCAGGCCCTTTGGAGCATATAGGTTCCTTCCTCCAGCCTAAGCACAAACACAAAAAGCTCAAAGCCTTCATGCAAATCAGCTGTGCAAATAGACGCCCAGGGGCTCATAAACGCCCAAGCTTCATCAAATAGACTCAGACGAACCTGAATTCTCTCAGGGCTCAGAAGGTTTCTTTACAGAGCTGTCAGCAAGATTAGAGATGGGACACGTGGATCCTGAGCCTGCGTAATAAGTCGAGGAGGGAGTGGTCCACAGTGAAGGATGAAGAGGGACCAAAAAAGAGGGGAAAGGAGACAGAAAGGGAAAGGAGAAGGCAGGCATGGTAACTGTCATGGTGATGATTCTCAGCAAAAGCCCAAAGATGGAACTCAATGCTCCGGCCTCTTGCTACCCGCGGTGTGGCCCACGGACCAGCAGTATCAGCACTGCCAGGAAGCTTATCAGAAATGCAGAGCCCCAGGCCCCATTCCACCCACTGGATCTGAATCTGCATTTTAGCAAGATCCCCAGCAGATTCCTCTGCGCTTTAACGTCTAAAAAGCATTGCTCTAACCCACTGCTTTTCACACTTGGCTGTACATTGAATCACCTGTGAGGTTTTTTTTTCTTTGTTTTTTGTTTTTTTTTAAATACAGATGCTTGGGCCCCAGCTCCAGGGACTTGATGGAATGGTATTGAGTATGTCCCGGGCTTGGGCTTTTTGGAAGCTCCCTGGATGGCTCGAATGAGCAGCAGACTGTGAGAGCTGTTGCTCT